GGGGGGGGGGGGGGGGGGGGGGGGGGGGGGGGGGGGGGGGGGGATGCAGGTGGGCAGGGGCTGGTGGTGGCGGGGGATGGTGTTGGTGTTAGGACTGTCCCATTGTCTTTCGAATCTGCAGTAGAAGTGGTTCAGCTCGTTTGCCAGACGCAGGTCGTTGACAGAATGGGGGGGTTAGGTTTGTAGTTGGTGATCTGTCTGAGCCCCTCCCAGACAGACGCAGGTCGTTGGCTGAGAACTGTTGTTTGAGATTCTTGGCGTACAGCCGTTTAGCGTCCCTCACCGCCTTACTAAACCTGTACTTTGAGCTCGACCCGTTCTGGTTCTGGTTCTTGTTCTGACCTGCTTCTGCCCCTGTCCTCAGCCTGTCCAGGCCGGTTCTGGTTCTGACCCGGTTCTGGGTCTGACCTGGTTCTGCCCCTGTCCCTAACCTGTCCGGGCTGTTTTTGACCCGGTTCTGTCCCCAGCCTGTCCGGGCCGGTTCTGGCTCTGGTTCTGACCCTGTTCTGGGTCTGACCCGGCTCTGGTTCTGACCCGGTTCTGTCCGCAGCCTGTCCGGGCCGGTTCCGCTGCAGCAGTAACCAGTGCATCAACTCCAGCCTGCGCTGCGACGGCTACGACGACTGCGGGGACCACAGCGACGAGCAGGGCTGCAGTGAGTCCAGTTCTGACCCGTCCTCACCCGGTTCTGACCCGGTCCTGAGCCGGCCCGGTGCTGACCCGGTTCTGTGTGTGCCCAGGCTGCAGCTCGGCCCAGTTCCGCTGCAGGAACGGACTCTGCAAGCCCCGGTTCTGGAGGTGCGACGGCCGGGACGACTGTGGGGACGGGTCTGACGAGCTGGACTGTGGTGGGTCCCCCGACCCGGTTCTGGTCCCGGTGCTGCACCCGGTTCTGACCCGATTTTGGTCTATCTAAAATCTGTAGTATTTTTTTTCTTTCTTTTAACAACATGAATTTAGCATCATAACAAAAAACCTTTGAGTTGCTGGTTGTAATACTCCGTTTGGGCCACAAGAGGGAGACAACAGGCTAAAACACCTCAGGCTGAACCAGGATAGACAGATAGACCCTGATGGGACCCGGTCCTCCTGATGGACCCGGTCCCTCTGATGGGACCCGGTCCTCCTGATGGGACCCGGTCCTCCTGATGGGACCCGGTCCCGCTGATGGGACCCGGACCTCCTGATGGGACTGGTCCTCCTGATGGGACCCGGTCCCGCTGATGGGACCCGGACCTCCTGATGGGACTGGTCCTCCTGATGGGACCCGGTCCCTCTGATGGGACCAGGACCTCCTGATGGACCCGGTCCCCCTGATGGACCCGGTCCCTCTGATGGGACCCGGTCCTCCTGATGGGACCCGGACCCCCTGATGGGACCCGGCCCCTGATGGACCCTGACGGACCCGGTCCCCCTGATGGACCCGGTCCCTCTGATGGCCCCTGACGGACCCGGTCCCCCACAGGGACCTGCCCCGGTGGACTGGCCTCCTGCAGGAACGGGCGCTGTGTGTCTGCGGCGCTGAGGTGCGACGGCAGGGACGACTGCGGGGACGGTTCTGACGAGTCCACCTGTGAACGATGTGAGCAGAACCCG